ACGTGATCATAATCCCTAAATTTTGGTGACTGTTTTCTAAAATTTATTAGCCAATCATAAAGATCTTCACCTATGCTAGATCCATACTTTTTTTTCTGGAGTACTTAATAATTTCTTGGTAGAGAATGCGTTGTCGACATCATTGATGATGCAAGGTTCGTTCCTCATAAATTGATTGGCGTAATTAAAAGATACGAGAATCTGGTTTTTTTTTCAGTTTGAAAAATGATTTCTTTGTCTTGACGCTTGCCACCCAGAATTCTAGCTAACTTTAAAATACAAAAACGCCTTTTCTCTTTAAATGCATCTTTTATGAAAGAAAAAAATGGTTGGGTTATTGACAAAAAACCTACTAATTCATCAGCGGAAGCTCATGGTTCATTCACATCTGTACGCTCAGAAAATTTAATTGTGATGGACTTACCGATGGTACAGAAAATATATGATGAGCATATACAAAAATTAGAAGCAAAGAATAAAGAGAATAAAGCAGAGATAAAGAAAATATATGATGAGTATATACAAAAGTTAGAAGAGCATAAAGACGAGATAGTTAAATTAACAAATAAACAAAATGATGAGTATATACAAAAGTTAGAAGAAAAGAATAAAGAGCATAAAGACGAGGTAGTTAAATTAACAAATAAACAAAATGATGAGTATATACAAAAGTTAGAAGAAAAGAATAAAGAGCATAAAGACGAGGTAGTTAAATTAACAAATAAACAAAATGAAGATAGAATCGATTTTATTTTAAAATCAGAAGAAGTGTTTAAACTTCGAAGAGTCTGTAACGTTAGAGCAGCTTTGGAGTATATCCGCAGTTGGGTAAGTTTTTATATGTTAATTTTTTTTTTTTTTTTACACTTATTTATTATAATTTTCTGCAATAGATTTCTCGCAAGAAAGGTCATGATCCTCTGATATATGAACCTGTCGATAAAGTATTAGAAAAGCTGAACAATGATCAACGATTTAAAGAATACCTGATAAACACGTGTGAGATGAATAATGTAAATGTAGAAGCCGTGAACAAATGTATTGGTGGTCTGTATCATAAATCATCAAAAGAACTGCATGGTCATGACAAAATCGTGATTCATGAAAAAGATTGGGTAATAAATGAGATAATTGCCTTAGGTCTTATTTTCAAATATTTTGCTGTTCCTTTCGATTATATGAATGAGAGAGATGAATTTGTGAAATTTCCATACAAGTTAGCATCATGTTAGTAACGTAATTTAGCTGTTTTAGTTTTTGTAATTGGATACTGAAGAAAGTCATGCCGATCACTTTTGCTGTTTATATATGAAAGTTTTTTTGCTTTATTTATGAATAAATAAAGTTTTAATTATCTTGTGAAATAGAAACTCACATATGAGACCGCGCGGTCCTACACGTGACCGTAGGGTGATCATCAAACTAATCAAATCAAACCATAAGTAGCCATTATATATTGAGAAGGTGTGAACCGGTTCTGGAACGGAACTCGACCGGAGGCTAGGTCACACCAAGGTTCGTAGATCAACAAA